TATATATATATATATTCGTACAAATATTTGCCATGTACTTATTTATTTTCTTTGCTTAAGACTTAACACGCGACAAATTACTGGCTGGACTTGTGTTTTGTACGCATTCTGTTGGATTTATGGTGTAAACTTGGAATGTTAAGCATGCATCATGAGAGTTTTGGCGCCTTAAGCCTGTCTAATGCGCTCTCGGTCCCACAGAATTAAGTATGCGTTATTTATGACTGTTTATGAATAATATCCATTTAAATGCCAGCGCGTGCGGGTCACTCCTGACACAGTTGTCCCACTCCCGGGCGCAACAGTTAATTTGCCCACAAAGCCGGCGAATGTAATCAGCAGTCCTCATTTAGGGAACTCAAGCTGAAGCTGAAGCTGATTATAATAAGTAGAGCATTTGGCATGACAAGGATAATGTCTGCACACATGCTTAGCCTCAGCACAGCTGCAACCGACATATGCAAATAAAGCTATAGAGAGCAAGCTTATGAGTGCGATGATGAGGTACAAAGCGTTGCAGTGGAACTGAACAATTGCACATCAAGGCAACGGAGAACCGCATCTCCGGCAGACAGCGGCCATTGTGGTCAGCTGCAGCATGGCGCTCGAACCACTGGCAGCTCCAGTGGTGCACACCAGACAGTCGTTGAAAATCATAAGTCATCAAAATGTTGACTGTTGTTGGCAATGCTTGACACGAATCGACTCCATACTTATACAGATGTGGGTACAGTGTGAGCAATAAGTATGTTAACCAATGAAACTCTGCGTTAGAATACATAACTTTCTTCAGATCATTGTAAAATATAACTCACTCAAAAGTTACTTAAATATATATATGATTCGAATTCATTTATATATATTGCACGTGCGTATTCTTTTAAGAGTGAGTGTAAGCCTTACTCTGCATGTGCGTATGTCTTGTCCTTGCGCATCGCATGCAACAGCTTGCCACCTATATTATATGCACAGACACTGACGCAGACACACACACACACACACACACAGACAGAGAGACATCAATGCGTGATAGTGCGGCGCCCAGCAGTTGCCCAGCAGCGAACACGTCGTATGCGCAATTTGCATAATGAGCAAAGAATCAAAATGGTGCCGCATGTGGAATGGTTTTGATTTCAGAGCAACTCAAGGCAGCAACTAGCACAACAACACAACAACAGTCAGCTGACCCAATTACGTTGCCACCAAAATCGTGAGCGTCTGTATCCGCAGGCATTCTATGATGTTTCGAATTTGGCTGCCTTAAAGCTATCATGTGTATATCAAGTGTACCGCCACTTAGGCAAACATTAAAAATTCCAGATGCGTCCAGCATCTGACGAGCCCCAACGCCCGATACAACCAGCTGCCGAGCAGAGTTCAAAGGTAAATAATCTGATAAATTGCTTGCACATATTGGTACGCCGCGCATTTTTATCTACGCCAATCCATGGGACTCGACCGAGCAAGCAAACCGCTTTAAACATCGCAATCAGCGCCAAACGCCAAGCACCAAAGCAGCTGAGCTCATTAGCATTTCGATTTGGTAAAATCAAACAAATATTTCCGGCAAAATGGTTGACAGCAAACATTGAACTTCGACTCATGTCATTGGCTTTGCAAATGAGCCAGCAGAAATAGACGAAAGCACAGAGATCCAAAGTGTTCGACCTAATTGGAATACTCGAAATAAACTGATGCTTGATTTGATGAATTTACAATTTCTATTTAATTTTAGTCAATATTTATGGTATTCAGATTTCATTTCAGTCTCAATTAATTTCAAATAAATATTCGAATATTGTTCT